TAATCGATTAGAATAGAATATCAGTTCTATGTGTGAACATGTTTATGTTATATTATATTTTATTATTTATTAAGCGATATATAGGAAAAAAAACAGGAGAAAAGAAAAACAAATGAAATATTAAATCGTTTAGGAATATTTCAATGGCAAATAAAAAAAAGAAGATTAAAGATTAAATATAAAAATTCACAATTCGTAAGATGATCTTTTATTTGTATTGTAAAATCTTTCGTGAATGCATGGCGAGAAAAGCCAAATAAACATTTAATTATTCGATCGTACCGCGAGTCCATTTATCAACGATCAATAAATGCCGGTCGAAGATCCTATTTCCATTTCGAGTTAAGTTTCTCAATTTTTCTTTCTTTCTTTTCTCTTCTTCTTTTTTTTCAAAGAAAATGAAGAACTTACGTATTAGAAAAATCTTGATAAATCTTTGACTTTATCGCGTGGTAATAACATTATCGTTTCTAAACGGAACGATTGCATCGTCACGTTGAGAAAATCACAATTGTTACGTAAAAACTTATCGAAAGAGCTGAAGGACAAAAGATACTAATAAAGAAACAATCAAAAGAGACATAAGAAAAATTCGAGAATTCCTTTTTGATTATTATGAACGAATATTTAATTATACCAACGAATAACGAGAAGAAGAAAAACAAGTGTATGTTAATGTGAAATTTGATTGAACTAATCCTACAAATTTATATACTAACTAATCTTAGAAGTCTACTATACCTACATGGTATTCTTTTTATACTGTATCTAACTTTAACTTGTTAACTAGAAAGATTTTTGCTCGTAAATATATAAAATTTACATTATTTATCTAATTAAAAAAAAAATGAATACGGATAAGATAGTTTTAAAATAAATTAATTAATCAGAAAATATAATATAGTGGAAATAAGAAACAAATAATTAATTAATATTTGTTATTAATTAAATACATAATTCATCTTTTTCAGTAAAGAAATAAAATATATTTTATTACTTATAATAAGCATTAAAAAATATAAATCGTCTGAGAAAATGTTTCTTTTTTCGGAACCTTATAACTTCATTTGAAAAATTTCTGATAATTCAAAAAGCTGGATATTTTGTTAACGGTATACTCTGTATATAGATATATTTCTACTTATTTCATGGCGCCTGCGCCTGCAATTGCAACATTGCGTAATTGGATTCAGCAGACGTAGACGTGTTTATGCTCGAACTCGTTCGGTAGTTGAAAGTTCTCATTTCTCCCTCTCCCCTCTCACTCATCTCTTTCTCTCTCTATCTCTCTGTCTTTGTTACATGAACGAAGGAAGGTCTCGCAATGACCGTGGCCAATTTTATGAGAGCTGATCGAAACTCATGCTTCGTGTTCGAGTCGAACTCACTTTTGAATTTCCCGCCAGATTTTGTTAAACTTTACGCAGGGTTTTCAAACGTTTGATCGTTAAGAATTTATTTGAAACACTTCGTCAAACAAAATTATAAGTTATTAATTATCACATTAAATAAAAGATAATTTTCTTATCATTATTATTCTTATTGTTCTGTTCTGCGTTATGTAAATCTTCTTTTTTAATCTTCGATAATTGCACATAACACAAACATTTAAATACAAGAGTTAAATTTATTAAAAGATAAAAAAATGATTTACGAAATATTTTAAATGAATTGAGTTACAAATAAGACGATTCTTTCGCGTTTAGCAAAGAAAACATTAAAAACGAAATAAACTTTATATGCAATAAAAGTAATAAATTTTACATAAAAATATAAAAAATATATAAATATCATAAATATATAGTAATATAAATGTATTACTTATATAGATATCGAAGATTAGAAGAAAAATTTATCTAATATTTTAAAACTCTAATCGTAGTCAATAGCAGTATTTCAAAATTCCAAGAAAAATCTCATAGGTATGTGTAAGAAAAATTTCGTAAATGGAACATCAACGAAAATTCAGTTATCACGTTTGAGCAAATTACTTAAATGATAACGTGACGTCTTATCTCTTTCTTCTATACGGATTGTATTCTTATCGTACGACCCTTTCATTATCAGAGAAAAAAAGAAGTTAGGAAAAAAGAAATTAATAGGCCGTGAAAAAATAAAAAAAGAAAGAAAAAAAAAGGAAAGAAAAGAACAAAAGAAAGAAAAGAAAAAAAAATAGGAAAATCACGCGTTAGAAAACGGAAGTTAATGATGAAACGAATGCTGCTCGCTCGCAAACTCGTATTATTTATCTGCGAGTAAGTGAAAGGAAGAGTTCGATGGTCTTGAATAACATGAGTTTAAAAGAAAGAGAGGAGTTAATAAAGAGAGGAGAGAGAGAGAGAACTTGACTTATAGAAAAAAACAACAAAGTATCATACCCGGAACTTTGGACCTTGAGTACGATACAATGTTAGAAATTACGTATAAATATGTGTATATCCGTGTATCTATATTATACATATATGTATAATATGTATATATGTATATATAATATAAACCAGACGTTACTAGGAGTAACGATGATATATGCACAGTGCACACGCATGCACGTGTCAGTCTTGTTGGCCGGCAGCAAACAGGAACACGACGATTATCCGGCAAATGAATGAAATCGAGTGAACTGGCTACTACTAGCTACCACCATGAACGGCAATGCTCGTCCGGGCTTCGTTGTATTGCGTTACATGTAAAGTTACCTTAGAAATAATTCAAAGTTATTCAAAGTCGAGTCGAAACGTATGATACAAAGCAATTTGGTTTCGAACATGAGATAGACTTTATTAACTGAATTGATAGATATCTTAAATACAACATTTGTTTTTCTATTTATCGTTTTACGTTTAAATTCATATCGTCAACGTGTATTATCTATACACACATGTAATTTATGTTCACATATACAAAAGCAAAAGTCGATGAAAATATACAAATGAGAACACGATAGAAAGATTTAGTTAATGAAATACATACATACATTTATACATATATACATATATACACGCGCGCGCACACAGACAGCACATACATATATAGATACATACATAATGTGTATCTACATTGCATAGAATGCAATTCATTTATCATGATCATCGTTTTCTTTTCTTTTTTACTCTTTTAACAATTAATAATTTACAATTAAGTTCTTTATAAAGAGTGTTATAAAATAGATTACGATATCATCGTTGTGACATCGAAATTGATCGACGATGGAAATTTTCAAGAAAGAAACAAATTTCGATCGATTACGTTTAATACCATTCGTTTTGTATAATAATTGCATCGTATGCATACATGCATTGTCATTTCTTTGAAATTACAATAGCATAATGACGCATGAAGTTTCGCACGCATATTCACTTACACGGACATACCTACACACACACTTTTTACTTTTGAACATAGCGTTTATAGATATTTCTTCGGTTTCTGCAAGTTGTCAAAGCGTACACAACAGTGGCAGCATCTCCTGGCGATGTAAATTTGATTTTACAATTAGTCTTATATTGCTCCTTACGTAATAGCAGATAAGTAAGAAAGAAAAAGAAAGAAAGAGAGAGAGAGAAAGAAAATGATAAATAGGAATATAGAAAGAGAGAGTCATTTTTTTTGCGAATGGAAATCTTATACATTAGAGTACACGCATACACACGCATGTTACACGCGAAATAAGCAAAAACATCGAGGAAACGTAACGCGAGTATTTCTATCAAGAAAATTATATTACGCAGTAATACATCGCGTCATATCTATGTTACATATGTGTGAATATATCTGTTTTACGAGAGCGACAGATTGAAAGATAATTTTATTCTTTCATAGATTTTCAGTTATCTCATTGGTGCTCCAATTAAGATTATGATCTCGCATACCTCAAATTTTCTTTTAAAATTCATTAAGAATGTTTTTTTGTCGTAACATATGTGTGTATTGGTGATTAGAAATAGCTCTGTTATATGAATTATGAGTTATATTTTCGAAAGAACAAAAAAGAAATAGTGAGGATATCAGAAACGTTTCGTGGACAAGCAATTTCTTATTTTATATTGCAATTTCCTCTTGTCGGTTATTCTCTCCCTCTTCTCTTTGTTTCTCTCTCCCTCTTTTTCTCTATCTATATCTATTTATTTATTTATCTATTTATCTATCTATCCATCTATCCATCTATCTATCTATCTATCTATCTATCTATCTATTTATCTATCTATCTATTTATCTATATATATATATATATATATATATATATATATATTTATCTATCTATCTCTTTTCTGATTTATGTCGTCTTATTTCGTTTCAAGTTTCATCGATATCAATATACTCTCGAAGCTTTCAAAAGACCTATGGATCTTCCATTTCCAATTTCGAAAGAGATTTTCTTACTAGTTGAGCGTTACTTTACCAACGGATATCTTCTCTCGTTCACAAAATTATTTCCGTAGAATTCACGTAGACTTCTCAAAAATAGCCAACTTGGTAATTACTCGGTGCTTCTGAAATCCCTGACATTATCGCTTCAAAGTACTGGCCAGATCTTTGAGATCAATATTATATCTCATTTTTCTTTTGATCGAATTTTTCTTTTCTTTTTTATTTTGAAATTTCAAGTCATTTCTATGAGATAATTGAAAAAAAAAATGAATTTCGTTACTTCTTCCTGATAAGCCAGTGGAAATTTCTTAGAAAATTAATTCTAAACGTTACGTTAATTTACAAGTAGAAAAATAGGAAAAAGAGAGGGAGAAAGAGAGAGAGAAAGAGAATTTCACGTATTTTCGCTGAACGATCAACGACAATGGAAAATTCTTGAGATTTCTACGACCATACACGTTCCTTACGGACGATTCGATATCAATGGCGAAGCGAACGTTTATCAGCTGGTCAATGTAACGTCGATGGAATTCATTTGATATCGAACTTTCATTTGATTGTTTGAAGCTAAAGAGAATTTTGCTAAGGAAAAGGATGTGTCGTTTGAAAAAAAAGTACGTGTGGCGCGTTATCAAACGAATAAGCTAAAAACACATCCTCTTCTATATATCACTGATGGCCTTTTCACAGCGCCAGTTTAATCGCAACTCGATAAGTCTCCTCGTGTACTTGCTGGACTTTTTTCGAGTGGATATATGTATATACGTTTATATAGATATGTACCTACCTATATAACTACGTATTCGATAACAGACATGACGTACGACAGACGACGATTCGTTCGATTATTATACACGAGGATTTACCACAAAGCGAAAATACTTTTTGTCTTCTCGAATATTCCATGACATTTTTTCTTTTTTCTTTTTACGAAGATTAAAAAGATCGTTCCTTGTTTGTCTTTGTATTCTTCATTTATTTCAACAGAGAATGAGAGAGAGAGAGAGAGAGAGAGAAAAAAGGAACGTAATTCTTTTTATTTTTTCGAAAAGTATTTGTAAAAAGATTAAAAATAAAAAGAAAATTTTGAACGACAACCCTTGACATTCTCTTTCTCTCTTTCTCTTTTTCCTTGTAACTGCACCTTGTGGAAAGTCGATGCGACGAGTAGTATAATAGTATATGTCGGTCGGTCGGCTGAAGCGACGCGTCCTTGCCAGATAGCTCTCCCCACTACTCTTCCCATGGTGAGCACCGCGACGATACTGTGTCGCGAGAGGGGTAACCTATTGCCGAGCGCTCAACCCCCACTACTGAGCCGAATCTCTACTTCCACTCCGAGCATACAAGGCGCCGCTGTCCCGTTCACCGCTCTATGTAAGAGTCCGCAGATGTTACCCCGCGTTCCAGTCTCGCAGCTGTAGTCGTGGATGTTGTATGTCGTGGGTACCAATGAAATAAGTGTAGGAAGTAGAATTGTGAAAAAGAACATATATACACGTATATATAATATATATCAAATTCTCTTGGTGTTTCTCGCGGATATAATAACGAAAAAAGTAAGAATCATAAAATCGTGATATCTTCCACTTCATTTTATCTTTATCTTTCACACTTAATTTTCTATCTTTTTTTCTTTTTTACGTAAGAAGTACCGTGACGATCAATCAAAAAAAAGAGAGAGATAGAGAGAGGGAGAGAGAGAGAGAGAGAGAGAAAGAGAGAAAGAGAGACGGAAGAAAGAAGTGGATAATCGATCGGAGTGCGCGAGTGTGATAGGAATGTGAAATTTTTCTCTTTTTCTTTTTTACTACGTGTGCAATTTCGTCCTGATTCAGTTTTTTCTCTTTCTGTGGATATAATTATCAAAGATTATTATCTTCCAAGTGTGCATCTTCGTAGACGAAGAGAAACCGAATTTCTTTTGAAAAGATTACTACAAGAAAGGTGTGTGCGTGTGTGGATTATTACGGAAGAGAGAGGGAAACATAAGTTTCGGAATATACCGCTACGTAAAGGAAAGAAGCATGTGAGTACGAGATCTCGCTCACTCACTCACTCTTTTGCGACTCTAGACGTTTCCACGATAAAGAATGAGAGAAAGAGAGAGAGAGAGAGAGAGAGAGAGAGAAAGAGAGAAAGAGAGAGGGGCATACGGTTCGGCGGCTCGAGGCTGGCGCGTGATGCGTCACGCGCGTGTATGCTAGAATATTTGTGTGTGTGTACATGCGTGAGGTCTTGCGAGTCGCATATGGTATATGTGTGTGTTGAGTACGACGCAAGAACGACGCAATACTTAGCGCACGTGCGCACATCGTCATATGCCCTCGTAATTTGTCCAATCGTGCAATTTTTTAAGTAAACTTTACTTTTGTATTCTCTTCCATTTTCCTTCTTCCTTTTTCCTCAAAAAATAATAACATCGTAAGAACGTAAGCAACTAATGATAAAGATTAGTTTGAAAATATTTCAAATTATTTATCGATATCGGAGAATGCTTTTTAATTTTTAAAAATGAATGGATTGGTAGGATAAAAAAAAATGAGAACAATTATCCGAAAACAAAAATCAAATGTCGAGTAACTTTCCTATGTCTATTTTTACTTTTTTCTTTTTCTCCAATGAACGATTTGTGAACTTAGAGACGAGAATACGATAATACAAGGTCATAAGATTTTTTCAACACGACAAGACAAAACGACGTAATGTTATATACGAGAGCAGCAAGAAGGGAGAGAAGGAAAGAGAAAGAAAGAGAGAGAAGGAAAAAAAAGAGAGAGACAGAGAGAGAAAGAGTGTATGGCGATGATAAGTAAAAGAAAGAGTAAGGTTCTATTTTCTACGTAGTAGCGAAAGATCGTTCAATGTTTGAGCTCTCTCCCCCGCTACTTTTTACTACTCATCATTCCATCTCTCTCTCTCTCTCTCTCTCTCTCTCTCTCTCTCTCTCAATCTACCCACGTGTATGGATTTATTATCGTCGTATTTTCGTTAGCCCGCCGAAATGTAATTTTCTCTCTGTTTCTATCTCGTTATACATGATCCAACTGTTTAGAAGAAATATGCAAAAGTCTGAATCATAAGAAAAGTATGTATTTTGGCAAACGTTTCGAACTCGAAATTGCTTTTAATCGGTTGACAGAGAGGGAAAGAGAGAAAAAGATAAAGATAGAAAGAGATAGAGATCTTAGTGGATGAGCCAATATTTCTCTTTGTAATTCGAGAGCTTAGCTTTGGAAGTACTTACGTTCTCTTACCATTTATAGAAAAGACGACTTTCCACGAAGCGCGTTCAATAATAGAGACCTCGAATAGAACAGGACTCGTTGCCGAGAATAATTCCATCGTTAAAAACAACAACGATGACGATCACGGTAACAACGTTTTCTATCTGACGAAACGTCATTTGATATCGTTTACACAATTCCATTAAAAAAAAAAAGTATATAAGCACTAGAAATAACTTAAAAATCATGGAATATTCTCAAGCGTAACGTTTATTCAAAGGTATTGAAAACTTATTAGAATTCTAAAGAAATAAAAGGTTAACTAATCCAGATTCCTGATAGACAGGATCGATTTATCGAACTCTGATAGTTCAAATACGAATTAATATTCATATGATTATCGTATTAGATATTATTCGCATAATAAATATTGTATCTTTAATTTTAAACGAACCAGATAGAACTAAAAAGGACATTAAATCGAACATCGATCGTTTGAATAAAAACAGATTAAAAAATTCAATCACAAATTTTATTAATCAATAAATTGAAATTTTGTTCCACACTGTCTCAAGTTCGTCGTTATTGCTCTTGAAATTTTTTTTATTCGTTTCCTGTAATTAAATACGCAATTTGATTAGATATACAGATATCTATATGATAATAGAGCAATGATATAATTTTATTTATTTTATAAATACACTACTTATTTACTAGATATTTCATGTTACATTTACAAATTAAACAGGATTGTGTCATTCTCATTTATTGAAATATGCATCATCTGTTTTTTAAAAATCACTCTCACTGACATTCATTACATTTAAATTGGATTTAAATAGAAATTATATTATTTACGTAAATTATAGTCATATCGACAATATATCTCATTTATTTATAACAATCAGTAAAGTATAAAGATATCTCGATTGGGTTTACGATAATATTTTTTTTTGTTCTGTATGACGCTTTATTATATTCTTCATTATCTTATATAAAATTGTACGCATATACGTCGATATAGAAAAGAAGAACGAAGGCCGTCGAAAGGTCGATATCGTGTCGGTGTGTAAGCAGCTCCACTTGGCAGTGCCAAGCGAAGTTTTTGTTCCGAATATAAAATTAGGTCCGTTCGCGGGCCAGACGAGAGCGCGTGCGCCTGTTCGTCGTCTGTAGCAGTGGTGTGCAAATTATTTAGACGCGAACTTTTTCTTTAAATAAAAATTCGATAAAAACTATGTCATTTTTTCCATTATTTTATTAAATATAAGTATAGTAATAATATTTTATTCAAAAAGAAAACTTTTTAGAATTGTGGTTTAAAAGTATCATCATAGTCATCATCATTATCATCATCATCATCATCATCATCATCATCATCATCATCATCATCATCATCATCATTGTCATCATCATTATCATTATTATTATATGCAAAATCGATGAAAACATTTCTGATAATTTGAGCACCACTGTTCTATGTAGGAAGAAGAGACGCGTGGGCTAGAAAGCACGGTTGTGAGCCGAGCTTTTTCGGCGAAGAGCACAGTGTGTCGACGTAAATAGATCAACTTTAGAATGCGGCTTGTCTTATTCACACTTACGTAAACGCGTCTCGCTTCGGGGACGTATCACGTAATGCGAGGTCATTACGAGCCACTCGACTCGATCAGAAGCCGCCTGCGTTTCTTTACTTATTCTTTGACGAACGAAAAATAATCATTTAGCTATACAATATTAGAAATATAATTATTAATCTGTTTTATTTTTTCCTTTGTTTAGTATTTACCCTATTTTCCTTTTAAGATTTTAATTAATAATATGCCGTTTATAGCAAATTCCCCTATCATCGTTAACTTTTTTCTTGGTTGAACGAAAGTAGATCAATCGATTTTCTTTTCTAGATACTTACGTCTCTTATTAATTATGAAAAAAAAAGTACAAAGAAAGCTCGACTTAAAATAGTATATATGTTTACATTTCTTATCATAAAATATTGATTTTATCAGTATTTATCTTGATTATATATATATATATATATATATATATATATATATATATATATATATATATTAGATTGGAAAATAAGTAGTAATGGAATTTTTAATATTTTATATGGAATAAAATATTAATATTTTTGTTTTACATGGAGTAATTCTTAATATTTTACATAGTAATATTTTGTATGGAAAATATCAATACATTATTTATTAATCAATGTAATATTGTTATGTATAAATAATATTTTATATTATATTAATTATTCAAATATAAAATGTCGACATAACTGATTAGTCAATCCAATACTAACATCGCATTATTGAAAATAAAAAATAACGAAATCAATATTTCGTTATGACAAATATACATAAATTATGTTGAAATTTTCATTAAACAGTATTAGTATTATTTACCTAGACATAAAATATTGAAAATTCTGATATTATCTGATTATATCATTAACATGTATATCGAATTATTCTAAATGAATATTTCGAATTATTCTAATTTAAAAAGTACTAATTTTCTTATAGTTAGATATAACTATAGGTTTCGATATTACTTATTAGTTAATTCAATAAAAACATCAAATTATTAAAAATGAATAATAATAAAATCAATATTTCATTATGAAAAATATGTATATATTATCAAAATTTCATTTTTTACTTATAATTAAATATAAAATATAAAAATTCCAATATTATTTATTGATCAAGCCAATACTAACATATGTAGATAAATAACAAATCAACGTGGTATTCATACGTACTCGATCTTCGTTGAAATCATTTAATTGAAATAAAAATAATGAGTTTTATAATAAGAAGTAGAAAGATGATCAAATAACGCTTTGCTTTTTTTAATTTGGTACACTTTTCTCTTCGTTTCTTTTTTTTGCTCCTTTCACTATCAATAGTGATTATACAGAAAAGTTCGAATATAACAAATATGAATAAAGAAAAGGGTCGAAAGAAGCTTCGTCTGAAATATCTTTACTTGGATCACACGACACGCTTTCCTACGATAGCAGGCTAGTGGCAGTGCTACGCCCTTCGAGACGTAGGAAGAACACGGCCATTGTACGAGAAGTATCGATCCTACTTCCACGCTTCTTATTTTCTATCTTTCCACTTTATCCATCGTCTTCTTCTTTTCCTTTTTCCTTCTCCTCTACTTCTTCCATCGTCTTACATCGTTTCTTATCTTATATCCTGTGACATATATATATATACACACACACACACACATTATTTACACATCTTCAATATGCTTATCTCTTTTTATGGAGACTTATTTTAAAGAAAAAAAGTTAATGTTTCCTAATTATAAATTACATTTATTGTTAATATATTATATATAATCGTTCTAGTATAAGTTTCAAATGATATAATTTTTTTATTTAGAAAAAAACATTCAATTATATAAAGTTAAAAAGCAAACTTATAAAAGATTTATCTTAGACAATTGGTTTCATTGATTTCTATTTCCTAGTTCATTTCTTTGATATTTATTTTTCTAATATAAAAGAAAATTTTTTGGCTGCAAAAAGTCTGGTGAAGACAGTCGAGTTATGTAAACGAAGGTTTTAATCGTAAGGAATTGTACTTTACAATATAAAGAGAATGTCCAGATTCTTCGAAAAATTCGTTCGATGTTTCAAGGATATCGGCGAGTACATACGTTCCTTCCTAAGCTATCTCTCCAGCTCGTAAGATTAATTCCATGTCTCTCTAGGTCGACTCTCGTCCAACCCTCTTCACCACTCGAGGTATCTTGCCTTGGATCGATCGACTCACGCATGTATCTCTTTCTTCCTCATCTTTTTACTGTAAAAATTATCGAGACTGTACGACAGTCTCTCTCTCTCTCTCTCTCTCTCTCTCTCTCTATCTATCTATCTATCTATCTATCTATCTATCTGTCCGTCTGTCTGTCTGTCTGTCTGTCTGTCTGACTGTCTGTCTGTCCGTCTGTCTGTCCGTCCGTCCGTCTGTCCATCTGTCTGTCTGTCTGTCTGTCTGTCTGTCTGTCTGTCTGTCTGTCTGTCTGTCTGTCTGTCTGTCTGTCTGTCTGTCTGTCTGTCTATCTATCTATCTATCTATCTATCTATCTATCTATTTATCTATTTATCTATATATCTTATCTATCTATCTATCTATCTATCTATCTATCTATTTATTTATCTATATATCTATCTATCTATCTTTTCATCTACCTATCTATCTATATATCTATTTATTTATATTTATCTCTCTTTTCTCTTTCTCTTCCTCTTTCTCTTTCTTTTTCTTTTTCTTTTTCTCTTTCTCCTTCTCTTTCTCCTTCTCTTTCTCTTTCTCTTTTTAGTTGTCTTCTTACTTGAAAAAAAAGCTTAAAGGTTTTTACACGATGAACTTGTCACTGCGGTTAGAACTTCGAACGACAGGTGTCTGCCATATCTCCAAAGAAGCTACGAAAGACAGTCTAATTACAACAGGTTAATAGTTGATATCTTTTCAAAGACAGTTTCGAATTAAGTAGCTAGGACTAACGTTAAAAGTCATTTTTCTGATTGTTTCGCAGGTATCGATAACAGATGACACGTGTTCTCCATGTGTTATACTCTGTTCAACACAGCATAGTAATTGCTTCCTTAGTATTTTCTTAGGGGACTTATATAACACGAGTCATTTCATTGAATTATTCTTGATCGAACAAAATGATTACGTCATACGAATTTCATTAAATTTTATTGAATAGATATATGAAAAATTTTAAAAAGAAGAAAGGAGATGTAACGTAAACACGAAATCAGTTTCGCAAATATATCAATCTACAGCGTGTCGAGCAAATACACTTTCAGTGTTGTTGGGTTATACCAGCATAACCCGTGGATTACCTTTGTGTCTCTCGGGATATTCGATATGGCCGAGTGAACGGCGATAACTTGCAATAATCCTAGCTGGGATTTCCCAAGTGTCGTGGCTATCTCTATCATGTCGATGGCTCTCTCTCTCTCTCTCTCTTTCTCTCTCTCTCTCCCTCTCTCTCTCTCTCTCTCTCTCTCTTTCTCTCTCTCTCTCTCTCTCTCTAATTCTTTCTCTAACTGTACTTGATAAACTCATTTTCCTGGAGCAATTGGCGAGAGTATTTCTCAAGGAAAATCTTATCGAAATAACGCCTTCGCAAGATGAAATAATCCATCGTTGCGTGAATCCTTTGATTTATCCTACCAAGAGCGATACTTGTAGTTTATATTACTTACATATTTTTCTAAACTTTTGAATTATCACAAATCTTGGTTGAGCTGGTACCAAGAAACTTCAAGCTTGTATTATCAATCGAGTAAAATGAATAAGGATTAGAAAATTGGAAGATATCAAAAAATGATTTAATTTATAATTAGTTGATCCGTGTTTAGTTTGTTTGATAATTGACTTTTAAATGAAATTATCTTAGTTTTTAAAAAGTACACTTTGGAAATACTTGAAAGTATCTTATTGTCAAGAAATTTTAGGTCAAAAGAAAAGGAAACTGCGTTTTCAGCAGTATTTAAATGAAGGCTTATAAGATAGATCCTCACCTTGTTATTTGGAGCAGCAATGCCTGTGTCTGCGGAGAGGGTTGTGGTGTATTGATCTGTAGGTCTGCTGGCCTCATACTCTCTCTCTCTCTCTTTCTCTCTCTCTCTCTTTCTCTCTCTCTTTCTCTCTTTCTCTCTTTCTCTCTCTCTCTCTTTCTCTCTCTCTCTTTCTCTCTTTCTCTCTTTCTCTCTCTCTCTCTCTTTCTCTCTCTCTCGCTTTCTCTCTCTCTCTCTCTTTCTCTCTCTCTCGCTTTCTCTCTCTCTCGCTTTCTCTCTCTCTCTCTTTCTCTCTCTCTCTCGCTTTCTCTCTCTCTCTCTCTCTCTCTCTCTCTCTCTCTCTCTCTCTCTCTCTCTCTCTTACTCTCTGCACTCTCATCGAGAAAAAAGGATACGCTGAAAAAAGAAATCAAGAAGAGAAAGAAACTGTTAAAACAAATTCTTTTTCTTTTCCTGAATAAGCCAACAGACTTTTAAATTAAATTCAGAAAGGTGAATTAGGTCAATAAAAACTATAGGAATATTCATTCTAGAGCTTTCTTGGAAATCCGCCGTATTTCTCGTAAATTATTTGTTAACAAAAGAAAAATTTTGAATTAGAATATTCTTCAAAGAAAAACATCATCAAAGAAAAAAATTTCTTTTTTTCGATCGTATATATTTAAGTCTTCCAGTTATTTTCATTCCTTTCTTAATCGTATCAATAATGCATAAAAGATGATGAAATTCCTAAAGGAAAGGAAAATTATCATAAGTCGACGTCTAAGGTCCCATACATCTATAGTCCACCTACTTTCTTCAGCAAAATCTTACAGTTCATATCACCGACACGTTAGATTAAAATATGTCAAAAGGTTTCTATCGATTTAACGGATATTCTCTTTTATGCATTTATCGTGTAACATTACATATTGGAAGTTCAGAAATAATTCGAATAATTTCTTTGGATCAAAAATATTCTTTTTTTCGTCACGTGATTTCTATGATTAGCTTACCATAATCTTTCTGATAAAGAGAAAAAAATAAATGACAACTCAAATCTTTCTGTTGGAGAACCAAATTAATCAATAATCGTAATCTTTTTATATAATCGATTTCTATTAAAGTCAATAAAACAAATAAGATTTGTTTAATATATAAATAATTTAAACAATAATCATAATTTTCTCTGTCGATTCAACCAAACAAGAAAATTCGAGTCAACAAAATGAGTAAAATCTTTCCGACAGAGAAGCAACCTATACGATAATTGTAATCTTCTTCTCATCGATTCTTATTTGACAAAATAAACAAAGAAAAAAATTAATCAAAAGAGGTTAAAAGACTTTGAAGGACACGTCAATGTGTATAGTCAAGTACGTCGTACACGCCGAGTACAAGTACGATACGCGAACCGTACTCCATTGACTTCGTTCGTTGAAGGACATTTCTCTGGCCCATATTCGCTACCCTCTTTTACCATGGTGACCTCCATTCAGACTCAATGCAAACGTAAAGGGTGTATGCGTTGCCTTTTCATGCGTTTCTCTACACGAAGGCAGCCTACGACTACATCCATTTTTGTCTTTTTCTCTTTTATTTTCCTTTCTTATGCTTTTATTTCGACGATCAAATTCGAATTGCAGAATTCAATCAGAATTGAATTCAAATTTAAATTTTATCTTTTTTTGCTTTCATAAGCAAACCGATTGAATTTATTCGAATGAATGAAATGAAAAAATTTGGCTGAATTATTACTTCGAATTTATAATACTTGGATCGTGTTAAACCACCCTACTAGAGACAGGTCTACTTGCAAGGCCGCAAGTATATTTTTAACTTCAAGAGAGAACCTTCGGGCGACTCTGTCGGGATCAATATCTACCACCCCCTGTGCCATGTACTACGTATTACTGAAAGCAAGAAAGATACACGAGTTCGCTTTAACCTACATATCGAGCTTTCTGCCTCGACTTTACCCGTTAAAATTTCCTACGGATTTTAGTGGCTTGAGTGGTTAAAACGTAGGTTCCTATGAAATTGTGAGGTAAAACTTCACGTTACGTTGAATATTTACCGAAGTAGAAGAATTTCTGTTAACAATGATACTGGTGCTATTTTCTTATCGATCAAGTAATCGCATAAAAATGTCTTTCTTCTTTCGAAAAATACAAAGTTAGACCATTCCGTGCCAGCCTATATCCTGTTAAAATATTATATAGTCGTTTTGTATTACAGCCAGAGAACGACATTCGCAATGGGAAAGTTATTCTCGAAGGTCTCTAAGCAATAATCTCGTTTATTGCCTTCCTTTTCGTCGAGCTAGGAAATACTGGTTCCATAATATGTGTCAATTCGTATTGGCTAGACTACATTACATAGACATACTCGGTTAAAATGAAAAACGTGGATAGAGTAAAGTATGAAGAAGAGAAGCGAGTTATATGAAATAGTGCCAATTTAAACTATAGTTAAGTATTGTACCTTGAGAAATTAATGACGTAAGGTCTTATGGGAGCTTTTTATTGAGCGATATATTTCTCATGTAAATAAAAGAATTACCTAATAAAGATTAAAGTAAGCTTTCGTCCAATGTCATGAAACGTTTTTATTTCCGAATCAATTTGCTATTAATGTTACATTTGACTGACGTCGTTACTTTTATTTTCTGTTAAAGATTCGTGATCAGCCAAGATCAGTCACGACGACGTTACGAAGAACAACGTTGTCATCAATACCGCATCAAAGTCAGCAGGAGACTTAACGAATATAATATTTTCGCACTGTTGGCAAGACGGCCGATCGTGCGGTAGTACCACTCTCGACTATCCCGTGGTCGCTACGAGCGAGAACAGCCCGAAGATTTTTCCACCGAGGTCCAAAATGCACATCGAGGTGCAGGTGGCGCTCAATTTCGTGATATCGTATCTCTATAATAAGTTACCACGTAGGCGGGTCAATATCTTCGGCGAGGAGCTCGAAAAGGCTTTGAAGGATAAGTTCAAAGGTCACTGGTATCCGGAGAAGCCATTCAAGGGTTCTGCCTTTAGATGCCTGAAAACCGGCGATCCCGTGGATCCTGTCCTAGAACGGGCCGCGAAAGAAAGCGGTGTACCGATTCAAGATATCCTGGAGAATTTACCGGCCGAGTTAGCCGTTTGGGTGGACCCTGGTGAGGTCAGCTATCGAATAGGCGAAATGAACGCCGTAAAGATCCTCTACTCTGAAACTGGAGATCCCCACGATGAAAGTTCGGCCGATCGAGAAGTTACCAAGACATTCAATCCAGAGGCTCAATGCTTCAGACCGATCGAAGCCGTCGGTACGTCCTTGGGTGGTCTCAGTTTAAGCCCCAAATCCACTTCGCCCTTTCCGAATTCTTTAGCCAGTAGCAGCAGCAGCAGCAATGGTTCCTCCAACAATCAGCAGAACAATCACGGTTCGGGTTCTTCCTCGGCACCCTCACCTACGCCGATCGGTAACTCATTCAAGGGTTCGCCCAGTCCCGTACCAAACTTCATACCGCGTACCACAGCACCGCTCACCTTCACGACCGCCACCTTTGCTCAAACCAAATTCGGCAGCACCAAATTGAAGACAAGCAGCAAACGAGCAAACAGGTACGTCCTATTGCCTTCCTTTATCATCTGCGTGTCGTTCATGATTAAATGATAAAAAGAACGCACCTTAACGTAGCCGCTAGTTCTTGAAAAAAAACAGACTCGTTCAGCAGTATTATGTCTGACCGGTTTCAGGATGTCGCCTACCGAGTTTTCGAATTATATAAAGCAGCGTGCGATGCAACAACAAATTCATCATCATCATCATCATCATCAGCAGCACCAACAGCAGCAACAACAGCAGCAACAACAACAACAACAGCAACAGGCGCAACAGGCACAGCAACAGCAGGGTCAACAGCAAGGCAGCACCGGACTACCGGTGTCACAGAATTCACCGAGCAATCGCAGCCTATCGCCGGGTAGCATAGTCGGCACTGGTGGAACTGCGACTCAACAGCACACGGATCCAAGTGCATATTTCTTTCAGCACGGTCCAACGGCGGCTGCTGCTGCCGCATATCATCCTCAATTTTCTCATCGCAACATCTTCGATTCATCGAGCCATGGTGGTTACCTTCCAAACGACCTTTACGCCGGTGCTGCTAAGTTTCCGTCGTCTTACCTAGACCCCGGTACGATCGCCGGGCATCAGTTTTACGGTGGTAGCGTGAACGGTACTGGCGGTAGCAACGGCACAAGCAGCAACGGCATCGTTGCAGCTGGCAACGGTGGTAATGCACAAAACGCCACGAATCTTGGACCTGTTGGCTCAGCAACAACACCCAGTGCTGCCAGCGTAAATGCAGCAACGGCCCAACAACAGCCCGACAAAAATGCTCTCGTCGAGGGCTTGAATAATTTTGGACTCGGCTCGGTGGCACCCTATCCTGCCAGCCAATATCAGCATCTCCTCGTAGCCAATTAATATCCTGCGCGTTTACATACTGCTCGGCAAGTTGCCACGCGCCTAACAATACGCTCCGCAACGCGACGCTCCTCCTCAACTTCCCCATCGCCAGGACGACTTTCAACAAGGTCTGTCCATCGGTTTATCGTCTCCCTCATAGGAGGTCTCCGTAAAGAATAGAAAACGAATCTGAAGAAGAGGACGCGTTTCTTACACGTTTCCTGTATTTTGATAGTTGATAGACAAAGAAAAAGAAAGAGAGAGAGAGAGATATGATGCGAAAAGGAGAGGAGAGGGTAGGCATCAAAATGATCGTGGGAGCGTTGCCGTTAACGACACAAAAGTAAAAGCAAAAGTAACAACAGCAACGCATACCCAAAATAGAGACCCGACAATTACGACGACAGGGACTAGGACGACGAAGACGAAGACAGCGCAGAAGTTTGTTCGATAAAACCGAATCGATTACGCGAATCCGGTATTCTACGAGCGAACATAACGCATCCACGACGTTACCGACATGGAAACGTATATATATATATATATATATATATATATATATATATATATATATATATATATATATATATATATATTATTATGTATCTATTCATACATACACATAATATACATATATATTATTATTATTATTATTATTATTATTATTATTATTATTATTATTATTATTATTATTATTATTATTAAAGGAACAGATATACACACATGTCACGAAGCAAAGAGATGATACACGCATAAAGCTACACACAAGGACACACAACTACCTCGAAAACGAAGCTTACCGAGAGCTGAGCATCATGATCCATGAATCCCATGATTACGTATGCGTGTGCACAAACATGTTCCAACGTCGCACGCGATATACACGGAAGATGGAGCGACGAGATGCTATTCTTTGGATACGTTTTAGAAGAAGAAGAAGAAGAAAAAGAAGAAAACAGCGATAACTGACGGTCGACAGCTAAACGAACGTTCGAGGATAATGGTCCGATGGTGAACACACATATACGTAAAAATACATACATGCATACTTACTTACGGCACGTATTACACGTACACACACATACATATTACCAAGACGTAATAATTTATTTTTTCACTGGTATAGTTGAAGAATTGATAATGAATATAACTGTAGAGCCTATGTATTATATTCAAGATGCACTCACTTTACGGGTTCTCGCGAAACGGTAGGAAGTATCTGTCAATTTCTGTCGAGCTCGAAGACGGATATTATTAACAGGGAAATAGATACAAGAAGTGATTAAAAACGAGTGGTATAGAGAGAGGGGGGAGAGAGAGATAGAGAGAGAGGAGCAAAGAGAGAAGAAAAAATCTGAAGATCGCCGAGCGAAATCCAAAAAAGGGAGAAAGTGAATTTCTCTCTTTCTCGTGGGTAACACGGATAAAAAAAGAAAAAAAGAAAGAGAGCGCATACCGTTTCATACCGTTCGGAAAATTCGTCTTCGGTACGATTTTACATTTTATTTTTGTAATAAATGCAGTAGAACGTAGAAAAGATGATGTGAGAGAGAGTGAAAAAGTAAAAGAAGAAGAATTGGACGAAGATGATTGGCGTTGTACTCGTAAGGATTAGCATACAAACGATGAAGTCATATTTGCCGATCTTCAAATTTATCGATCCTATACACTATATAGAATCGGAAGGAAGATTTGATATGTGACACGTCGTCTCTGTACCATCCTGAATATTAGAAAATTAGGTTAAAAGGCCGCGATCATTGACTTACAATGTTCCATGCGAGCTCGCGATTTTGTCCAATAGACGTTTAAATGAAAGAGAGAGATTCATCTGTTTTCAATTTTGGGGGGAAAGGCACGTGTCTATTCGAATTTTTGTGATAAATCTGAAATTAAAGAAAGAAAAATCAGAAGGAAGAAGAAAAACTAAAATAGAACAAACTTTTTTCGATTTCGAACAAATGAGATTTTTTCGGGGGATCTTTCTTTATCTTCTTCGATCGAACCTCTCTCACGAGCTCTCGTAAAAAAAAAAAGAAAAACGGGGAGAAATAATCGAAAAAAATACAAAGCAAAAGGGGAGGGGAAAAAACAGAAAAAATATGACTCGACAGTAACGACGGCAGCGGCGGCGACAATGAGAAAAAGTTTGATAGACGAAAGAAAAGGAGGAAGTGCTATGAGCCGCAGGCTGGGGTATATTAGGTGCTAAAAGTATTAAAAACAAGCAAACAAAGTATTTAACTTATCGTAAATATGACAAAATTGTAAGGATGCGCGCATCCGGAGACAGTCGACAGGCCCGGCAACAATTGGATAATAGAAAAATGAAAAAAAGATAGATGGAGAGAGAAAGAGAGAGAGAGAGAGAGAGAGAGAGAGAGAGATTTTTAGAAACGAGGGAAAAGCGCAACGAAAGAGAAAATTTAAAACTTCTCGTTTGTGTATGTTGTGTATGTCGTACGTACATACGTATTATGCAAAGAAGAAAGGAGGATAAGAGAAGAAAAAAGAAGAAGAGGATACAAAAATAAGTACGAAAAAATGTATGTATAAATGTATATTATTTACAGAACATGTTAACGTTTATAACTCAAATGCTCGACAGCTCTCTCGCCTTTTCTTCGTTGATTTTCTTCTATTTCTAAAATTGTTTGCCAACGAAAAAAATAGAAGAAAACAAAAAAAGAAAAAAAAATATAGTTCGGCGATAGTTCGGCGTCGTACCTTTGCATACTTCCTCTGCGAGCGAATAAATTTTACTTGAGAATCTCAGCCTATCTCGATGATTTCAAATGTACGCGAAGGGACATCGTCGTGGGTCATCGTCGTCGTCGTTGTTGTGTTGTCGTTGAGTCACGGGAAAAGATAATCGTATTTAGATTGACTTTGAAACGAACGAGGATCCTATAATGATATATCCTCCGCGATTAGTATAAAATAGTCCCTATAAAATGTGTATATGCACGGGCCACTCGGCAGCCGTCCTCTCCGGATGCACGGGGCGTGTTGAAATGGGGGTTTATAATATATGATTTTTTAACTACGAAAACCTATACTAGTAAAATTAATAAAAAGGGTAGAAGTGTTAAATAAAAAGGAAAAGAAACGTATGAGGATGATACAAAGACAAGGAAAGAAAGAAATAAATACGAAAATAAATGAAGAGAGAAAAAGAGGGAGAAGAAGGAGAGAAAGAGAAGCACGACAGTACCCTGTAGTAATATCTAAACTTAATTATAACTATTAACGATACGTACGACTGTGGTAGCTATGCTAGTACCTGCTATTATTAACAAGAAAAAAGATGATGTAGTGGTGTAAGATGGATTGATTGGGAAAGTGAACGAGAGAAAGAGAGAGAGAGAGAGAAATAGACAAACAGAGAGACACAGAAAGAATGAAAGAAAAAGAAAAGTACTAAGAAGGCCTTAGAAGCATCGAGATAGAAGACAGGGAAAAAAAGAAAAAAGGTAAGATGCTGCAAACTGAGTCGCCATATTCTCTCTAACCGTGGCAAAAAACCATCTTGCGGCAACCAGAAAACGCTCGGGCAGTCTAGTGCTTACGCTTTTTATACGTCGGGGAATAGAAACGAAAGAGAAAAAGAAAGATAAAAAGAAAAAATGGGATTTGCAAATAGCAAAGAGTAATTCGAACCTTCCCAGTCTGCAATACGAAATTTGCACGAGGCTTTCAGATTTTTTTCTACGATGTATTGTACTTATGATATGAAAGAGAGAGAAACTAGATAAAATGAGAACGATAACGAGGAGAGAAAGAGAAATAGATGGAGAATCGTTCGTGATCGTTTTGTCTATCATTTCTTTCACATGGCCTCCGCGTTTCGTATTGAATGATGAGAAAGTGAGAAGGAGAGAGTGAAAGTAAGAGTGAGAGTGTGAGTGAGAGAGAGAGAGAGAGAGAGAGAGAGAGAGAGAGAGAGAGAGAGAGAGACTGTATAATGTGTTGTGTGTACGTAAAGGAGAGAGAGATAGAAATAGAGAGAGAGAAAGAGAGAGAGAGAGAGAGAGAGAGAGAGAGAGAGAGAGATCGGATGTTTCTGTCGTAAAATTGTAAAAAGAATGGAAGATGCGAGAATGAGGGCAAAGTGTGAAGCAAAACGTTGCAATAAGTATGCGAATCAAATGGATCTCTACTCGAAACGAGAGGCTCAGCTCAGCGAAGAATCAAACATGATGTATACTCTTTAAAATAAAAAAAAGAGAGAAAAAGGGAAGGGGGAGAAAGACGAAACGACGAAGGAGAGAAAAAGAGAAAAATATAGAAAAAATAAACAAAGAATGTATCAAGTAAAAAAACAGGTCAAGAAGGGCTTTGGTCGCTATGGATTTTACTTAAAACTATTAAATGATATATAGAATGCATACACGGAAAAGAGTACATGAAAGAGGAAGCATATAGTATTATACGTTTAAAATACAATTAAAGTTAACTCTGTAAGCAAGAAAAAAAGTACGCATAGTTTTCAATACTCTGTAATCGATGTACTTGTTTAGAAAAAGAAAAAAAAAGAATAATGGAAAGGAAGAGAGAATTTATGATATACATACAACATGGCCACATAAATTAAATACAGTACATTTCAACTGAAATAATAAGGAAACAATATAAAGATGCTAAACCGAAATACGCATAATGCGAGAGTAAAATAGAGAGTGAAGGAAGAAAGAGAGAGAGAGAGAAAGAGAGAGAGAGAGAGAGAATTATGTAAGAAAAAAAGAGAGAAAGAGAAATCAACAAAATAATCTGTATTAAAATGTCATGTGTCTATAACTAATAGCCATCGGTATTGTCTCTTACATAAATGGTAAACAAATAACCGTGGTAATGTCGTATAATGTCATATAGTGATAATCGGACACTGCAATACACCATATATGATATATATACACACATACATACACATATACATACATATATATATATATATTCTTACAATTAGAATGAAAGGAAAAGAAGGAGAGAAATGAAACGCATATTGCTAACGTAACAAAAATTGGAACACACTGAAAGCATACTAACATACATAACACATATATACCTATCTATTTACCTATCTACCTATCTAACTTAACAACCTACTGTTGTATATGAAGAAAAAATAACTGAGAATAGTGACGAGAGTATGCAAAGTCGAAATATAGAAAAAGAAGGGCGGAGGCAGAGGAAAGTCTTGATTTATGAAGGACAACATCTGAAATCGTCTTTTACCGGATTATCGGCCTTCCATTACGTTGGCTTCGTGCCAGTAAAGAAAAATTTAAAAAAGAGAAGGTCGATTAAAAACTCCCTTGTGTTTTTAAAACGATTAAAAACGACTTTCGCCTACTTGGCGAAAACCACTCTTCCTTTTTCCTTTTTTTTGTTATATTTTTCTGAAAAACAGCGATTTGCATTTTTCTAAACCTAACTTACATCATGAGAATATTACTTATGAATAGAAGAGAATAAATAAAAAGAGAGAAAATGGCCGTAGACGTCTCCACACACGCGCACGTGCGCAAGAAAATATACGTATATGCAATGCGAGGTATTCATTATTGAGAATTATATAATTTTTTTATTTATAAAAATTAGGAGGAAATAAGAATTGCAATAGATTTTTTATGAAACGTGTTTTCTTTTCTTATTAGATGTCAAAGAAAAGTATATTTTTTCAAAGGATATAATAATAATAAAGTTTTTCTTTTATATATATCTGTATATATAAATTATAGGACATGCCGATGTGAATTTAATTCGATTACTGAACGCTAAAAATAGATACTACTTTTTCAATCAAATAAGACATATTTTTTAAAAGTCAACAATAAATAATATTTAGTTTATAATATCTCGTAAAATGAGAGACGTTATAATAATTTTTTATACTTATCGTATTTCTTCTTAAACATCAATCATACAAATTTGATCCGAAAGACATTGTTCTAATTTCAAGAATGATAAATTAAACTTTCCCAGCTAAAAATCAATTTCAAACGTTTTTACCTTAAACATATACGTATTATATTCTAAAGCACACTTTCAAGTCACGAGAAGAAGCAAAAAGCAAAAAAAGATAAAGAAAAAAGTAAACTATATAGATTATTCTATCAAATAAGGAATTAACGAGAGAGAGAGAGAGAGAGAGAGAGAGAGAGAGAGAGAGAGAGAGAGAGAGAGAGAGAGAGAGAGAGAGAGAGAGAGAGAGAGAGAGAGAGAGAGAGAGAGAGAGAGAGAGAGAGAGGATGATAATTAGATTTGTAATTGATTATATATATACATACATATACATATATATATATATATATATTTTTCAATACTTTAATTACTTGCTGAATGTAAACTATATACATATTATTATACATATACATATAATACACAAAACACATTTGAAAAAGAAAATTAATAATAATAAGCTGAGTAGAGCCGAAAATATTGGCTTTTTGAAGACACAGAAAGTGGAGAGAGAGAGAGAGAGAGGGATCCCTAGTCACTTCTTTTCACTGACAAAAGTAAGCGTTAGAAAGCAAAAATTGAAATAAAACAAATGATCACCATCCGTCGTTTGTTGATAGAAAGAATAAATAAACGTGTTCTAGTCGGTTGAAAATCAGTGCCGATTCTCTTCGACGCTTTTAATATGAATGAGAAAAGAAAAAAGAGAAAAAGAGGGAAGAAACAATTTTTGTACTCTATCCAAAATCACATACACGCTCTCGGTGTCGAAAAAAAAAGAAATAAACTTCATTAATCGTATAAGCGCGACATAATGATAATATCCTTTAATAATTGCCCCTTTTTATTAACAAAAATAATAGAGAAAAAGAGAAAAACACACAAAAGCCAAGAATCAAGATAAACATCAACAAAGATAAATAATAATGAATATCACTTGAGAAGAAAGAAAAAAGAAAATAAAAAAGAAGGTTCAAAGGAGACGAAGAATTGCGTGGACCTCGTTAAGGATCAAAACAGTACACATGTATCATTTTTATTAGTTTTTAATGAATGAACGAGACGAGAGTGAAAAAAGAGAGAGAGAGAGAGAGTATGTAAGATTGTGAGTAAAAGAAGAACCTATGTATATATACATATAAATATGTATATATATATGGTATCTTGTCATCTCAATTATAATTATTACCGTTATATTTTTATTATTATTATGATTATTATTATTATTAATCATTTTCTCTTTAATTTTTTTTTCTTTTTTTTTATAGATTTTACTTTTTAAGATTTTACTTTTCGTTGACTTTAGTTTTCTTTTTTTGTTCCTTTATTTTTTTATAAGAAATCGACACGAATTTATATCGTCGCTGATTCTGTTTATTCACCTATGTATTATTATTTGTTGCACACACGAATTTGTATACACATACAAATATACACTCACACAACCACGTAAAAACACATATACAGAGTATACACTATCGTTACGCGTTAACGCGCAAATATACATATATACATATACATATTTAGACATATTACGTTAGCGAATAGTGTAATTATATATATATATATATATCGTGTAAAAAGCCGTTATTATTTTCTCGCGAGTTTACGAGACAAAAAAGTTAAACTTTCCTATTTCATCAAGGATTCCTATTTCATCTTCTTTTTTGATAGTTTGTTAACGTTGTTTTTTTTGTATGATGTTTGATATAATCGGTGCTCTAATGGCGCATCAGAATAATAATATATTACTATTAAATATTATAAAAGTTATATATATATATATATATACATATTATATATACACATACAAACATACAACACATACATACATGTTCCTTTGTTAATACCATTGTTGGTTAATCATCTGAATTTATTTCAATTTCTTATACGGCCTGTATAAAAAAAAATCTTTTTGAGAATAGATATATCAGCTATATTTTTTAACGTACGTAAATATGCTATATACTTTTTATTTAGCACGCAAGCAACGTTCGTTCGTCGCTTTTAAAAGAAACGACGAAACAGTAGATGACGAAAATGAGCACAGGGATTCGACAATGACAGAAAAAATTTTCTCGAGTGTCACGACAAAAAAACACACACATATACATACACATGTATACACACAGGCTGCGATCCCAAATATTTAACAAAAAAAAGGAAAAGAAAAAGAAAGAAAAAAATGGAATAACTCGCGTGTGATATACTTATCAGTTTGTAAATTATTTTTTGTATTTTTATATATACATACATATACATATAATATATTATATATAACGTATGCGTATATATATACATATGTAGAAGAGCAAATGCCCGCGCATATAGATTGCAAACAAGTATACATAGACGTACACATATAAGTACACATACACACACATGCGCGCGCTGAGATATATATACAGAGAAGAAACGGTGTGTGTTCATGTCATGGAGCGTCGTTTTATTCAACAAAGAGAAAGAAAGAAAATTTGAGAAAGTAAAATATGACGCGTTGCATTCTCGTGAATGCATCGATCACACCAACGATATTTTCAAATTAGTTGATTGCTAATTAATAGCCCTTTCGTTGATCGAGAGCAGCGCTACGCATAATTAGTAGCTTCGAAAACGAATCGCAGTGTATATAATATGTATGTATGTAATCGATACATATATATGTGTATATATATATATATATATATATATATATCACCGTTTCTATCTTTGTCATTTCTTTTTTTAAAGATATGCGTAAATATACACTCATACACGTACATTCACACACAGTAATTTTAATTCCACACGCGATTGCCCCCTCTTTCAGTGATATATGATATATCAGTTCGTTCCCTATTATTTGTACCTTTGTAATTTGTAATCTTTAAACTTGTCAATGCTTTGTTTATTACTATAATGATGATGATAATTATTATTATTGTTATTATTATTATTATTATTATTATTATTATTATTATTATTACTATTATTATTATTATTATTATTATTATTATTATTATTATTATTATTATTATTATTATTATTATTATTATTATTATTATTATTATTAATATTAATATTATCATAATAATATTATTATATATTTTAAATATCTATCGATGTTGTTTTGTTATTGATCATTCAGTTGACGCGATACACATCATACATTTCTATCATTGTGTTACACGCATAAAGGACAAGTGAATAACGAAGAGTGAAAGAGGAGAAAGAGAAAGAATAGAGTAAAAGGACGAAAGAACATGTAAAGAAGAGAAAAAAGAGAAGAGAAAACTACGCAAAAGAACTCCATTTACGGTGAACCTTACAATTTTATATCTGAAGATTAATTTAGCATGCATGTTCCTTTACATACATTTTTCAATATATATTTGTTTGACAGATTAAAATGTAAAAAGGATTGGGAATCAGCACAATTTTGATATAGTAAAAAAAGAAAGATAAAAGAAAACAAAGAACGAAGTAACGTTTAGACACCAAATTAAATTTCGTTTATATACTTTTTTCAATAGAAATTTTTTATTTTTTTCAAAGATTAAAACAATAAAACATGATTGGATTTACACGTTCTTCGCATAGTAAAACACGATTTTGGTATAATAAAAAAGGGGGAAGATGGAGTTATGGATCAAAAATAGCAATTAAATATAATCCATGCCACGTATACGATATAAACCATTCGACGAAAGGAAATTTTCTCTGGATGCCATCCTATAAATTTTTAACATATTGAGTGCCACGGGGATGAGATTTTGGAATGAGGGAGTTCTGCGTTCAAAATGTTTAAAAAATATATGAGACTAATATAAATAATATCATAGTAAATTCATCTGTATCTTTATACTGAACAAAAAAAGAAACATTAGATGGACATATCGATTGAAAAAAAAAAAAAAGAAAAAAAAGAAATTGGCTTTGAAAGCAACGCGTTAAAAAAAATAATCCATCAATGGGGTTGCTCGTCCTTACTTTTCCCTATACATTTCCACTTTAAATCATCCTAACTTTCTCTTTCATTCCTTTTTGTCTTCTTTTTTTTCTCTTTTTCTCGTAAAAGACACTCGATGAAAGAAGCTAAATTGATACTAGAACGTGACGCGATCGCTATGGTTATTTTGCAATTAAATTCGTACTGTAAACAAAGCAAAAATTAGAAAGAGAAAGAAGAATTAAATGTGCGTACTTCATTGAAAATGAATTAGGCCAACTTGAATGGAAACATAAGACGCTTTTAAATTAGCAAGCGAGGGGCCGCTGATTTGTTTTGAAAAAATTTGTATCGAAAGAGAACGTTCGATAAATGGTCGAATGTTAATATGCCAAACGAAAAAAAAGAAATGAATGAAAGACAAGATATATCTGAGGACGTCATTAGCAATGGTGAAGTAAATGGGAGAGGAATGGATGGATGGATGGATGGAAATCGATGGCAAAGGCCGGTCGCTTGTGATTGGCTAGGACACGTTAGTAGTGATCTTCAATTGGAGGGCGTCCTATTAATTGTTGGAATTTTTGTAGTTTACTAAGAAATACGATTCACGATATGTTATTTGTATATGTATATACGTATACATATATAAACATAATATTTATATACATATATATATATATATACATACATATATTATTATTATTATAGTTAAATCGTTCTCTCGAGTTCTTGCATTATGAGTCCGATAAATTTTCTGAGAGGGAAAAGATATGGGAAGGGATAGAAGATAAACGAAAATAAAAAATGCGATGAAAGAAAGCAAAAAATGATAAAAAAGATTTCGCGTTATGCGACTACTTCCATGCTTTCTCTGCATTTCGAACTTTGAAAATGTTTACTTCATCTGTTTTCTTTTGCTCTGTTTTGCACATCGTATATATGTATTATATATATACGGTATATATAATATATATATTGTATATATATTATATATATTATATATATATATTATATATATATTATATATATATATATATATATATATATATATATTACGATTTTTCCGATATAAAAGAAGAAATAAGAAAGGAAGAGAAAAAAAGGAAATCGAAGAAGTGAATTCGGTAGCTCAGTTAAAGGGATTTTTGTATTCGATAATAATAACGATAATAATCATAATATAAAGAGAGAAAAAAAGGAAAACATAAAAGTTAAATCATATAGGGGGAGGAATTATTTCTTCTCGAGTGAATCTCAGTTTGCCTCGCTTCCAACCATGCTCGTGAACAACTTGTCTCATACGATGGATGTGCAATTAGTCAATGATTATTTCTATTAGTTTGTGTGTGTATGATAGTCCGTTTTAAAAGGAAAAAAAGAAAGAAAAAACAAAAGATTACACATTTCATATAACACGACAATGTATTCGTATTATACGCAAGTCACATAGATAGCATAGTTTTAATAACATTGTATTTGTTATTGAAACAATGCATCTTTGTCCTGAACGTATTCCTATCTATTATCAAAAATAAATGAAATATTTAGTGCTTAAGTTTAATAAGACATCTTTTTTTACTGTGTTATACAAACACAAATCACAATTTTTATATCATGTTATATGAGATTGTGTTTAACATATATTTGAAAAATGGTATTGACGAAAACTGGATAAAGTCCGATAACGATTGATAAGAGTTAGATAGCTTCTTCTTTTTTTCTTGTTTTAAATTAGAAAAGAGATAAAGAAAAAGAGAGATAGAGATCATTTGAGAGATAGAGATCACGAGTCATCAAAGGATCGAAATCGCTCCTAATTTGTTCACCTATCATTTAAATCTAGTTTGAAAATTTCCACCAAAAGCAAGAGACCCTTCAGTCAAACTCGAACTCCTTCAATTATTTAACTACGCTCGAATCGAGTTGTGACACTTCGTCCTACGACAAAGTCAAGCTCGTATCATGCTCTCCACACGTCATCAATGGCAAGTCCGATCAGTCCGAAATGTCATTCGCATATACACTTCCCGTGATATTTAATATGCGAACATGAGTATTAATTGTAATTAATAAATAGATGAATAGACAGATAGATAAATATATACATACGTCATGCATATATGTAATAATCTCAAGAAATACGCGCATCTAGAGGAAAATAATAAATGAACGGGCGGAAGTAAACGAAAGAGAAGGACAGAGATAAATAAAAAAATATAAAGGATAAGTTCATTTGTTGTGCGTGTGTGTGTTATGTTATATACAAATGATACAGAAGGAGAGAGAGAAAGAAAATATGAATGAGAGAAAAAGAGAAACAAATGATCCGATGATAAACACGAAATTACTATTCTTTGTTACTTCTTTATAATTAAAACAATAAAAATGATAAAAATATATTAAACATTTTTATTTGAACAAAGAAACAACGATACGATTTTCTTTTGCAAAATGAATGTCATCGAGATCATTCGTATTTTTAATTCATTATTTACGAATTGAATATTAGAATCATTCATTAGTTTACGAAATTAAATAAGACAAGAGAGTACATGTGTACAACAATTTATGTAACAATTATTGAGTTAGTAATCTTGAAAATTGGATAGTGACGAACATTGATTTATGACGTGGACGATAAGTATTTCGATTAAAGGTTACAAAAATTAAATTACTTTTTTTCTATTCGTTAGATTATTATTTTCTTATTTACGAAGAGAAACAAATAAAATGTTACGAGTTGTTTACACTAGAACTATTCCAGATCTCATTTCCACTTCATTCTAAAAGATTCAAATTATTGTCTCTAATGATTTCAAAGTTTCATTTCAATCATCTTGTATACATAAATATCTAATGAAAAGTTTAAATAATCATTATTTTTGCAATAATGTTGTATTTATTGACGCTTTCCTTGTTTTTCATAAAAATTTTCAATTGATCATTCTACGAATTCTCAAAATTAAATTGTTGTCAGCGTGTATTCGCTCGATCATTCAATAATCGATTAGATTTTTCCCTTTCATCGAACATTCGTAGAATTCCGCTCCTTCGAGCGATGCTAATGTATCGAGAATATATCTGTTATCAGAATTTTATTTATTTTTTCATATCTTTAGAAAGAAATCACGATCGAGCGTTCGAACTAGGATTAAGGGAAGTCCACGAATGGCTAACGATCCAATAGGATGAAATAAATGAACAATTATATGATCACTGGACTTACCTTTTCCGCTTGTTTTCTTATAAATTTGTTATAGTATCTCTTAAGGTACATATCCATTTGTTATGTATACTCCTATCGTATCACCGTCGCGTATTAATGTGGATAGGCAAAGTTCGTATGTTCCGTTTTTATATAGAGATGCACTGATAATGCGCAATGATGATACGGAATGATGATACGCAATAGTGATACGATACGAAGATATGCAACAAGTGGACACGAAAGATATCCTCATAACTGTAACGCAAATCAAACCTAAAGTGCACACACGAAAATTAAAAAGGGAGAAGGTTCTATTTATTTAAAGGTCTAATTATCATCATTGTCATCATCATCACCATCATTATCCATCATTGTCATCATTATTATTAAACATCGTTGTACGCACAATATAAAAATCCAAAATCAAAGATAAAAGAATATATAAAGTAAAGAGTATCGAGATTAGATGAAAGAAACTAGACGACAAAGAAAAAATAACTTCATAATCTCACGATCGTTATTAAGATCAAATTACAAAGAGTTATTATTGACGAAGATGTAAAAGAAAGAGAAGAAAAGAAATGAAAATATGTAACAGGGTCGTAATTTTAAATCGAATCTCTCGAATCGAGAGCTCATATAAAGTTCATTCTTAATTCATTTGGAAGCAAAAAGTGATTAGTGAGATTAAGAAAGAAAAAAGGAAGTTTGCAGATTAATGAAGATACAAGGATGTCTAATGATTCAATATTTATTTCATATAAATGTATCTGACCTACTATGAAATAGAGGAAAAGATCGGTAAGGATCAATTGAAATTGTTGAAAAAAGTGATAGAAAAAAGATGAGATGGAAAGAGAAACAGAAAGAGAGAAGAGGAGATAATTTGTTTGTTTCGCGACCTATCATATGTGTAAAGAGATTATAAACTTTGAGAAAACTTCTTTTTTTCTTACCACCTTTTATCAGCTAGTATACGTATGTACGTACAACACACAGCTAATTAAGTGAAGATAAAAAAAAGAACAAAAAAATAAGCCGCTGCTGATTCAATGTCGATGTGTCATATCTATTTCTACAAGCCCTAAAATACGATCTCTCTTTACGTTTAATTAATGTGAATACGTAACAACATTTGTTAGACAAGTGTTATTAGTATTTATTATAAATAGTACTTGGATTAAAAAAAAAATAATGTATGGTCTCTCGCGCATCCACGAATGCGCGTCGGGTCGATGGCGGATCGAGCAAGCAGACAAGAAAGAGAGAGAGAGAGAGAGAGAGAGAGAGCGAGAGAGAGCGAGAGAGAGAGAGAGAGAAAGAGAGAGATAGAAAATATGCAATAGAAAAGTAGAGCCCCTCCGTATATAAAGCGCAGCCATTACTGGAACACCTTTGAATATATCCGATCCACGAATGCGCGTCGGGTCGATGGCGGATCGAGCAAGCAGACAAGAAAGAGAGAGAGAGAGAGAGAGAGAGAGAGAGAGCGAGAGAGAGCGAGAGAGAGAGAGAGAGAGAAAGAGAGAGATAGAAAATATGCAATAGAAAAGTAGAGCCCCTCCGTATATAAAGCGCAGCCATTACTGGAACACCTTTGAATATATCCGATCCGATCCGATCCGATCCGATCCGATCCGATCATGTCCAATCCGTAACGGAAAAAGAAAAATGCATGGTTTCCAATTAACGGATTTTACGACGCAATATTATTCTAAATTCGAACGAAGACTTTTTGAGGATGAAAGAATAAGAATTTTCGTTAATCTCTGTTATTATTATTTTTTTCTTTTTAATTGATTTGTGAAATACCGAGACATATATATATATATCTTTTTCGACGACCAATTGCGACATTGCGTTATATTCTTTTCCTCAAAATCTTTCGTTACGGAAAAACGTTAAAAAAATCTTACGTTAACGGAAAAAAATTATGCTACTACATAATCAAAATGATTGAATAAGACATGTGAAAGGTATAAAAGAACAGAAGAAAAAGTGAGAGAGAGAGGGAGAGAGAGAGAGAGAGAGAGAGAGAGAGAGAGAGAGAGAGAGAGAGAGAGAGTAGGAGAGAGAAAGAGGAAGTGTGCAAGGAAATTTGAGAGAATGAAGCAAATATGACGATTTGTTATTCGTGGGCGCAACTAATCGAGCAGTCTCGAAGAACGCAGCTACATCTCGTATATAAATATTAAAGATTAAATAATCCTTCGTATAAGTACCAATTAGACAAGCAAAATTAAGGTGTTTATAAAAACTATAACAAAAAAAAATGGAAAAAAAATTAAAAATACAAAAAAGAACGAAGTAAACGATCGATTTGAGGTTACGCGGCAAATTTAAACGGTATTCATGCGTGAACTATACGGGAAAATGTTGCCAAAATAAAAATATTTGCAATATGCGTTACTATAACGGAATTGCACGAAACGGAAATCCATGGAATTTCTTTGGCGAGCGCGATTAATTCGAATTTTTCTGTGGGAGTTAACATTATTTATTAATTCGGTTTTTTATAATTAATCAATTAATTTTTTCAGTTTAATCTGAACAATGAATGGCGTTTACAAAAGAAATTAAAAAACCAAAGATCGTCCAAGTTGTTTGCTATCTATCGTGAATTTTTTTAACGAAACTTTTTTCGAACATATATGCGTTCTCTTCACTTTTTTTCGTAGTTTTCTATTCGATCGACATAGAAAAAGAAAAAAAGGAACAAAAATAAGTTCTTAATAAGATTAATTTAACGATTAATATAAAAAAGAACAATATCGCGAGCGCCGTTGGCGCAAGATTTTTATCGATCGCACAAAACTTTATACTAATTAATATATTAACAAAAAAAAAAAAAGAAAATAAGAAAAGAGAAATATTTTCACAAAACGAAAATTCTCTTCTTCTTTTCTGTTTTAATTCTTATTATTTTCCTGAATAGGAAAATCTCGCGAACGAAAGAAACTCCGCGTTAACGTTTCCGTAGTGTCCAAGAATGCGCGACATTTTCTTTCCCAGCGAAATTTTGCCCGACAATTCTTTGTCTGTAGTACCACGAATACATTAGCAAAAGTATATTGCTTCGATGCTACACTTGAAGTTAAATAATAATAAAATATAATAATAAAAAAAGAAAAAGAGAGATATAAGAGACATACACGGTCGAGTCACGAACAAAAAGGACGAGGAACTCGAGAAGCGAAGAAGAACGTACTACATCAATTGTTATTGTTATAATTATAATTATTATTATTATTATTAATTATTATATATAATTAATATTATTATTATATCATCACTGTTTGTATTACAAGTATAATTATTACAAAATATCTCTGAATTAGTAAGATTTCAAACGAGATTATATATATATATATATATATATATATATATATATATATATATATATACGCTAAAGAAAAAAAAAATAAGAAAAACAGGAAAAAAAAGAAAAAAAAATTCAAGTATCTTGAATGTAAGAAGTAGCGCGCGGCCATACGATAATTCACTTTATATTTCTACATTAATAATATTTAAAATACACATAATAACTTTAGTGAGAGACGGAAGTTTTCCATTCCGGATGAATAAATAAATGAAAATAAAATAATAAAGGTATATATATACGTATATACACGTACATATATATATATATACATATATATATACATATATATATATATATATATATATATATATATATATATATATATATATATATATATATATATTGATAAAACTTTGAAAAAAATGAGAAATAAAAGGTATGACGTATGTCTGTATACATGTGTACAATAGCCTATAATTTTTCATGTTGTTGTACGAATTTTTAAGTTTATATTAAAATATTTTGTGCATTCATAAAAAAAAAATATCAATACTCGTCTCGTAATGAGTCTTCATGCCTTACCTCCGTATTCCATCTTAGATTACGTGGTTTATAGTACTTTAGGTTTGAAAATATTCTAATACTCATTCCATTTTTCCATGATAGTTATTTATTTTTCAGCATAATGTTTCAATATAGAATTTGTTCTTGGAATTCATCGATGAAGATCGTAAGGTTCAAGAAGGTTCGTTTATATAAAAAGAAAATGCGAAGAGCAAATTTATATCAATAACCTTTATTTACTGCTACATGCAAAATGCTACAACTTATACGTTGCATATATAAATATGCCTTTTACGATAAAACCTATAACACTTTCCTAGTTTTCTTTTGTCCCACGATTAGAACGATACACCGAGTAAATCGAACGAATCATCTCTTGGGAGTAATCAAAAACTCCTTTTATTCACTTTTACTTTTATTATTTATTTTTTTCTTTATCATTTATTTCTAAAAAACAATTGAAATCCCCAAAGTCTCTCTCTCATTTTTGTTTCCTCTACCCCTCTCTCATATATAATCGTATATCTGACGATAACTTGCATCATCTTCATCAAAGGGGATACTCAATGAATATACGAAGCTTATTTAAAGAAAAAAAAGGAGTATGAGTGTGACATTACTTTTGAATAAACATATATATATATATATATATATATATATATATATATATATATATATGTTTATAATATATATATATATATATATATGTTTATAATATATATATATATATATATATATATATATATATGTTTATAATATATATATATATATATATATATATATATGTTTATAATATATATATATATATATATATATGTTTATAATATATATAATAAACAATAAACGTGTAAATATAAGTGTACAATGACTTTGTTTCTATGGCTATTTACACGATCGTCGTGTCGTAAGTTAATTGAATGAGTAGAATCCGACGATGATGATTATTGACCAAAGTTGATAGCCGGAAAGATAGTCTGTGAAAGTACATATACACATACATATATGAGCGAACGATCGATCGAAAGAGCGAGCGAACAAAACAGTAAGTTTTCTCGATAAAAAGGATTGTGTAGTTGCTATTACAATATTAATAATGATATCCAAGAGAAGGAAGAGTCGCCAGTTAACGTTCTCGAATGAACATTATATATGTTCAAACGTGTTTCATTAATCAGAGACAACATTGAAGAAGAAAGGAAGGCTCGTAATAAAAAAAATCAATGCTATCTGGATTCACGAATTGATTGGAAATGTGGATTAGTCCGTAGCTTCGTGAAATTTAAAGTAATGAATCTTCATAGCTCTATTGTTAGGATACTTGATATTGCAACGAGGACAGGTCGCATTAACGGCACCTTCGACAACATAAGTGGTAAGATCAGTTTCCCTATGAAAATTACTGTTGTTATCAGGTTCATAAGCTGTTCCATGTACAGAGAGCATATGATTAGCTATCTCTTCTCTGCTCCAAACGTGACGATTGCAGAGTTTGCAGCAGAGAATCATTGCTTTGTGCGGCAAACTTTCAGTCTTTAGAGACTGCGATTGAGCCGAATACGTAGGGTTACAGCTGCCTGTGGTGCAACGACTTTTTGGATTGTTTCTATGCTTTACGGAAAAGTGTTGTCTCAAATTTGACAATGCCGAGAACTGTTTACCGCACAAATTGCACGAAACTCGACCATCAGCGCTTGGTATGGGAACGCACTCATTTGTTGATATTTTACCGATCACTTTTATTACTCTTGGTTTGTGAATCAGTTGTTTGTGTTTATATAAAACACTCATGTTCGGAAATATCTTCTTACACAAATGACAAGTAACCGGTTTCTTACCGGCATTGGTTAAATTTAAAGTAAATTCCTTCGCAGCATCTTCTTCTAATTCAAAAACTGTTTTCTTTGATTTGTATTCCTCGCTGGAAATTCGTCGAGTACTACTATTCTGTGCTTGATTAGACCGTAATGAAGCCTGTAAGTCACTGTGAAAAGACATTCTATGTCGTTGCAATGATTGATTGCTACTGAAGATTTTTCGACAAATGTTGCAGAAGAATTGAGCGTTCTTTCTACCGAGTGATTGAAACTTCATCGAAGCTACCGTGTTTGCTTTGTGAAGCTTTTTGTGTTTTGTCAAGACTTTCTTAGAACTGTAATGTTTGCCGCATATATCACAAGGGAAAGTTTGCTTTTGTAAGTCGCTCAATATCGGATTCGCTTTATGCCAATCCATATGTGTTTTTAAACTCTTCTGATCAGGAAAAATATTGGTACATAACTGACATTGAAGTTCGTCACCTGAAAAACTTTTCTCTGGTTTGTTACGAGCACAATGGACATCCCACAGATGTTTTCTCAATTCAACTACATCTTCGAATTTGCCATCGCATACTTGACACTGGTAATTGTTCTGTGGCTTCGTAGGTGGTGGATTAGGAAAAGATTTTCTTGCTCTAGCTGGACGTTCAGGCGATGTAACAACTAAACTACGGACGCTGCCCTCAGTAGGAGAGAGCGAAGTTGCAGTTTTAATCTCATTGTTCAAGAAGGATCGAGTATACAAACGCGAATTTGCTCGGTTGTGCCAGCCTCGATGAATCTTTAACGAGGCTTCCTCTAAAAAGACTTTACCACAAATATCACACTCTTGATTACCAGATTTATCTCCGTGAGCACTCCTACAATGGAGATCCAAATTAGCTTTGAAAGTAAATGTTTTAGGACACTGACGACACATCAGCATGACTTTCGTTTTGTGATCAAGTCTCGCATGACGTTCGTAAAGCTCTTTAGTTTTGAAGGATAATGAGCAACGTATACAAGTAAAACGTGCTTTGCTGTCCTTGTGAATATTCCTAAAGTGTCTTCTCAGATTCGGATAATTGGAGAATACCTTTCCGCATATGTTACATTCGTTTCTTCGTTCGCCAGAATCTGAGATCGCACTTGCATTAATAGAATTCATTCCTTGTGAATTATCGTCGAGTCGTTCATATTCAACGCAAGAACTATTGGCGTTTCTTTCTTGTGGATCTTCGATACCATGATCTTTCATATGAATTTCTAAAGCACCAGCGCTGCTAAACATACTACGGCAAATAACGCACGAATATATCTTTACTTTTAGATGAAGGTTTTTATGTTCAGCCAATTTAGCTCTCGTAGTAAAATCCTGATCACAAAGATTACAAACATATCGTTGACTGTCGACGCTTCGTCTCGATACCGTAGCTTCCTCGTTGTCACTCCACGATTTTAAAGGACTCTGTCCACGATGAGGCGACATAATTTGATTACTAGCAACCGGCCGATGCTGTTGATCCACGTTCATCAGCCGATGCTTCTCGTAATGCGTCAGATAATCACTCGGTGATCTGAACTTAGCGTTACATTCGAAACAAACGAATTCTTTCTTTTTATGATCGATAGTGATATGATTATGAAATTTTTTAAAGACAAGATAAGTCATACCACAATGAATACATCTGTAACAAGTTCTTACTTCCGGTGATAACCTGATACAGATTACACGATGCTTTAACAGATTAGGTTTGTATCTGTAAATCATGCCACATAAATCACAGGCGTGATTATGCGCTGGATCGCCATTCTTGTAAGGTCCAAAAATGACCCTATTCATCTGAGATGTTTTCGGCAATATTTCTTTCTTCGGGCACGGCAAAGGTGCCATAGGTTGTAACTTGGGCGGAGATCTCATTGGTGACATCATTTCTTCGTATTGTTTATCCGAATGTTTTGATAAATGACTTAATAATTCCTTTCTGTTTGGCATCGGTCGTAAACACATGTTACAAGTGAAATACTTTTCGTCTCCTTCCTTAGGTATAACTAACGCGATTTTCATAGCACACTCGAAGGATGCACTGCAGTGTAATTTGTACATAGAACGATCAGAAAATTCCGTTAAACATGCGATACAAGTGTATGGTCTTAAGTCTGGCATATGTTGACGAATATGAGAAAGCGTATTTCTTCTATCGATAAAAGTTTGCTGACACGAGTAACACGAGAATGTCTTCAGTTGGCTGATTATATTTTGTTGTACCTCCGTCAATGGTGCATCGTTCTCCATACTCGTTAATTCGTCTTCCACATCTTCAATCGATTCTTCTTCATCAACAGACATCGACTTAGATAACTCTTTATTTTCGCATTCGTCACTATGAAATCTTTGCATGTGTCTTATATATGTGTACTTAGAATGTAAATTTATTTGACAATGAGTACACTTTTGTTTATAAACCCGAGTACCTCGGAAATGCGTATGAGGACCACGTTTCATCTTCTTTCTACTGCTTGGAGTAGCTGCATTTGATTTTTGAGTCGAGTCAGCTTCCATAATTCTGTCTTCTTTACTAGCGATCGCCATTGGATTCAATAGTAATTCATTATCAGTGACTGATTCTATTTCTATTGTACAATCAGTATCATAATCATCTTCTGGTTCAGTTTTTATCGATACACCATAAAAATGTTTATCCAGTTTATGCTCCTCCCTGTCTGTATTCTTCGATGGAATTGGCTGAAAAGCTTTAGATTCTTTATCTTTACGTGTCTTGTCAATTTGTACTTCTGTCCGAGCTTCATCTTTAGAATAAAGTTTACTCCCAGATTTTACATGATTAATGACACACTGAAATGAACATTGAAAAGAAATTGAGAGGAATATTTTACATGACAGAATTTTTTTGTATTTGAACTTACAGAGCTTGATTCATTGTTGGATTCAGATATTTTAGCGTTATCTTCGCAGTAATCTATATCCATAGGTTCCTCTTTTATATTTACAACCTGTTTAATAAAAAAATAATTTCGCATTAAAAATATTTTCCTCCAATATCATCAAATCAAAGAATAACTATAATTATACCACTGGGTTTGCCTGTGGATGAGTTTCCAGCCATTTCTGTAATTTGTCCTGAGAACGAAAACAAGTTTCCTTGTAGCTGTACCACTGATTTACATTGTTTACACATGATGAACATATCAATGTAGATACTTTGTCGGTAGACAAAATCTGAAACAAAATACAAATATATGTTAGGAATATATTTTATTTCGATTAAGTAATCTTTATATAAATTATCTTGACATGTTCTCTTACAAAATCAGATACAGAAAAAATGTATCACTCATTTGTAAACTTTGAACAAAAAGAAAAAAGCAACATATGAATACACTATACCAAAGAAGAACCATGGGGCATCAATGTGTTTTTCATTTCACTAATAATTCTATAAAAAAGCGCTACCCAGTTTTTAAGAAACTATTGTATTATCGTAAACATTTAATCACGATTCACAAGATAAAAAGCATTATTAAGTGGTTCTTACATCGCCCGCCGTGAACATAACCTCCAAATGAGATAAACCAAATTCGTTCGACGTACAACGTCGCACATTATAATTCGCCAACATAAAATCGATCTCATCAATATTTAAACGCGCGATAAAAAGTAAAACGAACCTGAAGTGATAGGCATGCCTGTATTTTAGTAACGAGTGGCACACCAGCAGAGGAATCTTGTGCCCCGAAGATTGACGATTTTGGTTCTTCAACAGATAGACACAATCTGCACACGTTTTCAACGTTTGATAGTTCAACGATGTCGTCCATCGTGGACGGCAAAATTTCTTGGTGCTTTTTGAAGCACCACTCGAACCGCCACGAATCCGTCTCCTCCTTAGGGCCAGGTTAGGGACGCAGAGTTTTGTTTGTAAGTCGACATTTGAATATGGAATCGAGCGGTCCCTTTCAAAGCGTTCCTTCCATTTACTAGGAAGAACCAGTCAGAACGCTTTCAATACCATCGTGATGATGTGCAATACGAGTATGATATGGCAGTGCTGCCATCTGAAGTAAAAATATAAATTAATAGATTAAAACTTGTTACACGTCGAACTATTTTTGACGTACCCATAGTAAGAAAAAAATAGCATACGATTATTTTGAAAAGAGAAAATGTATTTGTTATATAAAAAGAAAAATAAAACCAATATTTGTAATTTTGTGATCATTCTTTATTCTTCGACCTTACATTATCATACATTGTTTGTTATCTTTTGTACACGTTTAATATACACTTTGTATATTTACAATTTATATATATACCTATTACCAATTTATATATATAACTTATATGATGCACATTTCTTTTGTCCAGATACAACATGCTCGTATTCAACGATGGATTTATCATAAAATTAATAAAAACGAGATCAATAAAATTATTCGTATATTTAACTTGTTAAAAAAATATTTAAAAAATCTTAATCATCATCTATACTATTCGTTTGAGCAAATGTCCGTGTTTAAAAATCACCAAGATTTGAAAAAATAATATTCAAGGTGGTATCAAAAATTTCTTATTGAAAAATGATATAAGCTCGTTAATCGTTCTGTTAACTATTTGGATCATAAATGCATCGAAATTTTTCGAAAAGTATACTACATTCTATATGTTTCTAGTAATGGTCAACGTACGATGTCTCAAAATTGTAGATAATTTTTACAAATTTTCATCTCAGCATAACTTCTTTATAAATAATAAATTATGTTTAAATCAACGATCGTCGATCGAAAAAACAATATCTAACAAAACGAATACAACTTATTCGCTTCTTTTTTGTTTCTAATCATTTTGTGCGATTAACGACAAAATTTTCTATTATATCAAAATTTTGCAACGAATTGTGTCAAGTCCGGTCATTCCTTGTAATTTTTTTCTTTTTTCTTTTTTTTGAAGAAATTAGATTTTAGCTTGTAATGATTTTGCTTGATTATCTTATCTTGATTTAATCTATATATAAATTCCAAATTACGCATCTTGACGAAATCTATCATCATTTCTATTTTTTTTCTTTCTTTTTAATTTCTATTTTTTGTTGTTGTTGCTTTTTTAATTCATAAATGAAATGAAAATCAAAATAAATTTCATTACTTTTTTATGTGCTCATAGTCCGTTGTGTTCGAATTAATGAAAATACCATATCACAATTCAACAGCCAACCAGTTCCGGTTTCCATTCCATCGTTCCGCCAATCCAAACGATTAAAAAGATTTACGAGCGAGGGTCTATAATTATGCCGCGATCAAGTTTAGGTTGTCAAACAATTAGAATTGAAGCAAGAACTTCGTTTTGATTGTTGACGCACATAATCCTGTACATTGAATTTCGTATCGTCTGGGTCACTGCTCTTTCTAGCTTTCAATTCTCTACAAAATCGATAGAAACATATTTTTATCTAGACTAATACATTTTTACATTTTTATTTGGATTAACAGATTCTAATCGATGAATTAAAAAATTAAAAAGAGTCGTTAATTGAAGAATTAAAAAAAAAGAAAAAAAAAAGAATTTATCTATTTTTATCTAATTATTTATCTCTTCCTTATATAAAAACAGAGTAGGTACATACCTAGCTACCGCGAGAAATGCCAATTCGACGTTGAGTCCGGTCTTGGCGGAGGTTTCCATGAAAGGAACTTTGTACTCTTGCGCCAATCGTTCGCCGTCTTCTGTCTTGACCATTCGTTCCTGTCCACAATCGGATTTGTTGCCTGTAATTCGATCCAGTCAACAGTGCGGAGCAGAATATTTAGATTGATGGAATGATGGTAAACTCTGATTAATCATTATAACTGAGATACATTTGTTAGCTTACGATCTTAACCCTCTATAACGTCATATAACTTTGAAGTTAAACACTTACGTATCTATTTTTTTATTTTATTTTATTTTATCGTCACAAATTAGTTGTTACTTCATATCCAAATATATTTTGAAATGCTTTTAAAATATAAGTTGTAATTATTAAAGTATAATTACATTAATAACAAATAAAAGTATAACTTACATTATTTCACATTACATAATTTTCTTGTAGATAGAAAAAAAATTATATTACAGAGAGTTAACGAATAATAATTCTCAACTCCATTTATAATAATAATAATGATTGTGATGATGATAATAATAAAAATAATAATCATAAAGAATTACCGAGCAACATGATAACAACGTCCTCATTGGCATGTTCCCGGATCTCGCTGAGCCAGGCTCTGATATTATCAAAGCTCGTCTTGTTGGTTACGTCGTACAGCAATAGAAGAGCTGAAAGAAGTCACAAACGTGCTACGTTTATCAACAAAGGCGATAAACAGCTAGGAGAGATCTTTTTTTTGCTTTAACCTCACCGTAAAGGGACGATTTTTTTACGAAATAACAAGGACAATAATAATAATTGCAATAGTACCATGAGCGTCTCTGTAGTACGCGTGAGTCACGCTACGAAATCTTTCCTGTCCGGCGGTATCCCAAATCTGCAATTTCACTCTTGTTTCATCGACAGTAACGATCTTATTCTAAAACAGAAAATGAAATCGTTCATTATTACAATTCATTGTTCTAATTGTTTTTTCATTAAATTTGTCTAATGTACGAGCAACGCAATGAGGATCGCTTTCCCATCGATTTGAATTTTGTTTAAAAATGGAAAAATATTGAAGATCGTCATAGGATACACAGGATGGAATCTACTTCTCACCCTGAAATCAATGCCGACGGTAGTTATGTAGTTTCCAGATAAGAAACGACCATCGCGAAAACGAGTAAGTAGGCAGGTCTTTCCGACTCCACTGTCGCCCAATAGCATAACCTGAAGTATATGAAGTATATGAAGTATATGAATAGGATAAAATAAGAAATAAGAAAGAATTATTTCGATGAAAAGATAACGAAAAGGGAAAGAGTCGATTTTAGGATTGGTAAAGAAAAAATATATATATTGTACATATATATAATCATCCCTATAACATATCATTACAGTTGAATCAGTATAAAAAGAAAGTTTCTTTTCCAAATTTATTCCAGAATCATTATCGTTACCAAATGATATCCTTCTGCAGTATTTTTTCATTTTATGGTAATTGCCGCGTTCTCATATAGATATTTAAGTATAACATGAAAAAATAGAAAGAAAGAATAAGAAAGGAGGACCTTGAAGAAGAAGTCAACTTGATCGGGTGTGGCTTGCTGAGCGGTCGAGTCGAGGTTGTCGAAGCGACGGCTCGGAGGGCCCAACGGATCTTGGGTCCTGAGAGAGGCGGACGAGAATCTCGCTGTGTCGGCGGTGGGGACCACCTGGACTGGGTCCCATGTATCACTGGTGGGAGTAGTCGAGCTGCTCCAATCGGTCGGCTCGCTCGTGCCACAACGTGAACTAAACTTGTTACGTTTTGTCACGTTACGCACGCTTTCCTCCACGGTACTCATGGACCCCTGTTACCGGAAGCACCAATTTGCTCTTCTTCTTCTCAGCCACTCCTTGTCGTCGTCGTCCTCGTTGTCTTCCTTGTTCTCCTCTTACTCCTCTTGATCGTCTTGATCTTCCTCGTTGTCTCGTGCCCTTGCTTTACTCTTGCTTTTCTTCGACTTTCTTCTCTCCTTCTCTTGCTTTCTCTCTTCTCTCCTTCTCTTGCTTTCTCTCTTCTCTCTCTCTCTCTCTCTCTCTCTCTCTCTCTTCTTTCTCTCTCTCTCTCTCTCTCTCTCTCTCTCTCTCTCGTTCACTCTCTTTGTACCTCCTGCCACACAACCTAAGGGTCATTCAACTCCAGACGTAATCGGGACCCGTTCTACCGAGAACGAGCTTCTTCGTATTTCTCTCCTCGTACTTCTTCTCCTTTTCCTTTTTCTCCTTTTCTTTTTTCTCTTGCTACAAACTGCGACTCCCTAACAGACAAAGACCGACCGAGTGAAAGTTCCTTCAAAGATATTACCGAAACCATAAGATTTTTGGGTGCTTACAGTAAGATCTTTCAGTTTACTATTGTTGAATATCTATTTTTTCTTTTCTTTTCTTTTTTCTATTTCTTTCTATCTAAGATCACGTGTTAATAGTTTTTCATTTTAATATCAAATACCTTTCCCAAACTGTTGAGTAACCTTTTCAATCATATAACATAAAAACCTTGATAAAGTGTTGTGATAAATATTGAATATTTTTTTGTTATGTCTCTTTTTTGATAATGAGATGAATAATGAGAGGTTTGTGCGAAAAATATTTCAAAGTTCCATCACAAAGTTGGATCGACTCGAAACAGCATTGATATAAAGCTGAATCAATTCAACCTACTGCTTTGGATTGACTTATATTACACCTGTCGTTCATAAGAGACCCTTTAGTGCTTAGCGTAAATTAAGCTTCTTAAGGGATGGTAAACGGGTATGATCCGATTGGTGGCGCCATTCATAATATTACCTCGAACAGAATGTATCTGTATGACGTATGAATAAAATGAAATGAAATGAAATGAAATAGACTAAGTGATTTCTAAGCATGAATTACGAACTTATATTTTCATCGAAAAAAGTTATTGTGAGATGAAATCTTTTATTATAATTTAATAACAAAAAAGATTTATAATAATTAAACTTTTCTCACGCGTTAAAATAAGAAAAAATATTTCTATTAGATATGATATAAAAAAGAAAAATTATTAGAGTTCTTTAATTTCATAGTAAAAAGTGTATAACAAAGTGATAGCATTATTTTTCTATCGTACTAATTTTGTATCCATCAACGAAGTTTACCACATTTAATTGTATGAACATGATACAAATAATACATTAATATTCTTTTATCCTTGGTTTCTTTAAAGGCATCACACACACAAACACAAATTGTAATAAAATTCTCTATTCGTTATTAGTTTACCAAGTTGTATGCTTTTATAAAAAACAGAAAAATATAAATTCTCATCCCGCTCTCTCCTCTCTCTCCTCCTCTTGTAAGGTTTCAATATTTTTCACACTCAGAGTAACTATGACTGCAGTTGCGAAAGTTTCATCGATTCAACGAGATCTCCCATTGAAGGGGAGTTCGATCGTCAGAATCTCGGCAAACTTGTAGAGTATCATCATTGTGTGAGAAACTATGAACGGGGAAGAAGGAGCGCGCGCGCGGGGGAAAGCTGCTTATGTGGGGATACAAAGAGACCACATTTTGCTGCTACTAGCTAACTAATGTTATATCGTATTTAGTAAGAGACAGGAGGGGGAGGGAACCTCTTTTAGATGTAGAAAGACCCCAAGCAGGAGGGAGGAAGGGGAATAGGGAAGTTCCGAAATGAAGAGAGGGGGGTGAATTATAAAAACTTACCCAAGAATGAGTTTTACCTCTGCTACTAATAAATAAATATAATATATATATTGCATAAAAACCCCTTTCCCCCACTCTACACAAATATGGATTACACAAATTTCCGTTTTACTTACAAATAAACAGAGATTTATCCGTATACAAGCAGAAGAAGAAAGAAAGAAAAAATCGTATCATAGAAGAAGGAGAAAGAGGGGAGAGAGAGATATAAACACGCGCGAACGGGATTCGAACCTGCGCCAGAACAGTGACGCGACGTAGAGCGAAGGATCCGTAGACTGGCACGCTAGACACTTCACTAAACGCATTTTCACATAACATATTTAAAATAGTAAATTTATACCATTTATAAAGATATTTAATATTTGTTGAAAATATATATATATGTTCATGGACACGAAAACATCTATTTATACGATATCGTACGTAATTGGTCTTTTCATAGAACAATTTTATCAAATAGAATAACTATCGCGTTTATTTATCGCGCTGAGAATTTCGAGATGCGTTTGAACAAGTGTTACGTATCTTCGGTGTGCTCGCGCGAGTTACTTTAAATAGATCGACTCCGTTCAGACTACTTTCCATAACTTGTCCCTCGAATCTCTTCTTTCTCGTAGATTTCTTTGTCATCCATCTCGATTACTTATAACTAAAATTTTTCTACAATTTTTAACTTGATACAATTAATAAGTTAATATTCTTTTTATCGGTTTTTTGCGGGATTAAAAATACAAGGAAGAATGATAAAAGAAGATTCTCTCTATTTTTTCTTTTTTTGAATCAAAACAACGAGAAATAGAATTATAAATCGAAAGAAAATCACGAAGCATAAATGAAATTGAAGGATTTTCTTTACAACGACACAGAGAAATGATATCTAGAGTGAAAAAACTTATCGTAAAAGCAGGAATTCCTCTCTCTCTCTCTCTCTCTCTCTCTCTCTCTCTCTCTCTCTCTCTCTCTTTCTGGCTTTTCTCTTTTCCCTCGTCTTTTTTAGATGCTCCTCTTCTTATTTCTTAGATTTTTACGAAGCTTATATCGAACTTCTTCACCAATGAAATTAACTCTTATCGCTATTATAGTTCCTTCAAAGATCGATTCTCTTTACCATGGACATCGCAAAAAGATTCCCTTCTTTTTCAATATCATCATGTTGTAATTGCCAAGTTCGGTATCATTTTATTATATAGGTGATACGCTATTTGAATAACATTTTTATTAATTAGTTTCACCTATATTATTTGTTCATTTTAAGAAAAAACCTTTTTTTCTTTTAATAAGTACAAGAGAGAAAAAGAAAGAGAAAAAGAGAGAAAGAAGAGAAGTCACGTGATCAACACAGAGTAAGAAAAAGAACCAATCGAATCGACGATGCGCGCGCATCTATATCGTCTTTTTTGAACGTCGCCTTTACGTCGATCATTTGCCCTCAGCGTCCATCTTCACAGCGGGAGATTTGCAAAGAAAAATTAGCAAAAGACCGATGAAATTGTATATTCAATAAATATTCGTTGCTTGTTTCTTCTTCGGTAAGATGCACGAAGATCAAAGAAAACTGAAATACCCGATATACGCAGACAAGACGCCATCTTTTCGGCCCAACAATTTTAACGAAACATCCTTCTTTACTTCAACGAATGGGAAAGTAATGCATTTTTTTCTTTTAGACTTTTTACAAGAGCCATATTGAATATTTAATGAGGTAATATATCCACTCTTAATAGGTTATTACGGATACAGACGCCATGTATCGAAAGATAAAATCGACATAAATTATAAAGTGTGTTGGATGCGACGTTTGCAGTATATATATATCTGTATATATCTATATGTGTGTGGATGTGTATATATACGGATGTAATTGCATGACAAATGAACTCGATAAAAATAACATCATCTCACAATGACAAAAATGATCACACGATACATATATATACATATATGCATATACACATATACAAATGATACATATATATATATGCATATACACATTTATAAACGTGTCTAGTAGTAGGTACCTATTTCACAAGATTAATAACAGCTACAGTTGGAGTATCATTAGTCTAGCTTTGATACGTATGTTCTTTCTCTTTCGTTCGTTTCTGTCGCGTTTCTCACGATGACACTTTTACGCGCATATATTATCTTCATAGTTGATTAAAGAGAGCGAAACGAAATGATATTTCTTTATTATATGCTAGATAAATTCTATTATAATTTCCATCATAAATTTGTCTGAGAAGTTTTGCGAATTCTATTATTGTCAAAGTTTCTCATTTTTCTTTTAAAACAATTTCATTTTAATTCCTTACGTTTTTTTCCTTCATATTTGATATATTTACAAATTAATTATCATTCAATTCATTACAAAAAAAATTATCATTCCTCGAACGTATAGGATTTGAAATATAAACGAAGGAAAGAAAAGGAAAAAAGAGAAGCAAATGAAAATTAATTAGAAATTCTTGAAATATCATAAAAACTTTGAAGAAACTTACCTACTCCAAAGACAAAAAACGACAAAGATTAATGTTACATCGACTTATTAAGAAAACTCGATTTTCAATAAAGTCGATAAAATCTTACCTAGTTTTTTCAGCGTGATCTTCGTATGTTTTGAAAATCTTAATAAAAGTTAATTTAAATAAGAAGAAGAAAAAGAAAAAACAGTTCTTTGATCTCTTCAACATACAATGTTCACACTATCTTACTCTCGCGATGTCTCTTCTAGTAACTACGATGAAAGCTTTGGAACTGTCAAGCGATTCGAGGGATTTTACCCCCTAGTGGAGTACCACCTGAAGGCCGTGAAGAGGCGAATGAAGAGGAGGGAAGCTGTTGCACACAAGCACATCGGCAACATTCACGAACACACTTGTAGAAATTGTAGAGGAATATTGAGAGAAAGGTATAGAGAGAGAGAGAGAGAGAGAGAGAGAGAGAGAGAGAAAGAGGGAGAGAGAAAGAGTCAGTGCTCGCACCAACGTTGTGTTCGTGGCTACCAGGAGCCTTCAGCGTTTCTATGGTGACATGCTGAGTGTGCGCCTGTTCCTCGTTTGCGCCGGCGCGTTATTCTCTCTCTTTATCCCTTTCTCTCTCTCTCTCTCTCTCTCTCTCTCTCTCTCTCTCTCTCTCTCTCTCTCTCTCTCTCTCTCTCTCTCTCTCTTACATAAATATATACATTTGACGTGCTTTCATCTTCTCATGGCAACAGGTTTTGGACTGGCCCGGAAGAGTAAAATCACCCGTAGGGAAAGCACTAAAAAGCAGCCTAGAACAAAAGAGAAACCATACGTGCGAATCGATATCGATCTCGTTCGAAACTCCCGCCAGTTCTTAGAAGGAACCTTAAAAAAATTGCCCAGGAAACAATCGTTTCTAGGACAAATTATTGTTGATAAGATAAGTTTAATAAGGTATACATTTAGATAGAAATTCTATAATCTGTATTATATTTCTGATATGTTTTAAAAATAGACATTAGGAAAATCCGCTCAATTTTTAAAGAAAAAATCATTATAGATAGAAAATTTGTATTAAAACAGATATGTTTAGATAAAACTTCGAGATCTAAATATCTTAATGGATATATATTGTATATTCGATTCGTTTCATGAATAGAAGCTATAAGAAAAGTTTATTGGATCAGTTTTTACAGAATATTTAAATAACTTTTAATAAAAATCGTTATATATAATATACTTTTTTGTTGAAATAGAACTTCTACTATCTAAATATCCCAATATAAGCATATATTGTATCTTTGATTCGTTTCAGAGACATATACCATCTAAAAAATTCATTCAAAGGCATAGTTCTCTCAGTATATACATACCTATAATATATAAATAATTGTTAGTAAACTTATTTCTACTAAAACATATACATAAATAAAATTTCTGTAATATAAACATCTTAGTACGTGTATATTATATCTATGATCAATTTCAAAGACATATATCATTCTAAAAATCCACTCAATCAGTTTTCTCTTCCTATAATATCTATACGTATGTACGTACTTATATAAGTTATCGAGAGGAATTATCGAGAGGAGTTTGTTTCTCAAGGAGTATCGGTTTAATCTCGTTGTCCTCTCGTTACAATCATTCGTCGATCGATCTTCTTTCTCAAGAAAAAAGAGGAAAGAATCTTGTCATCGGACCTTGTAGATCTTATATGCGATTTGTATAAAAGTAGCCGAATACCTCAGTTGCATACAGAT